AGTATGTTATTTCAGAAAAAGTCCGATTTTGCGTCAAAATACCTAAGTTAGAATAGTGCTATATATAAATCTAGTATGTATCCTAAGTCGCGCTTTCGAAACATGAAGAACGCAATTTGAATTTTTCCGATTGGCCCAATAGAATGGGAGATATAGAACTGTCCCCCCTTTTTATTGCGCAGTGTACATCAATTTGAAATGTGTAAAACGCAGACAAAAATTTTCTGTTGTGCAGCACTCGAAACATACGAGCATGAAATGAAAGAACCTTTTAAATCTACCAGGCTACTGCACTCAACCCTACATCACCGATAGATATGCCCACTTCTGCCCCAAACCGGATGTTTGCACATATCTGGATTACATGTTCGGACAGCATCTGCATTTCTAACTGACAATTGTGCTAGAAAGTGGCATTGATACCATGATGAACACTGGAAACATAAAAGTATGATCTCTCATTACTTAAGTGTTAATTACAGACCACATTGACAGCCCATTCTGTTAGCTATCAGTTTCATAACATTTTAAAATTTACTTAACTTAATCTAATTCATTACTCTGGATGTTTTAAAGAACAGAAAGAAAATTAAATATGCAAATTTTTTAATGCAGCTGTTGGAGAATTTGCAAATTTGAACTCATGCAACAAACTTAGCTGACTGGATTGCATGACTGGTTTGATGTCGTTAGCATTTGAATCATTGAAAGAAACATATACTACACTTGAATCATCCATAAGTGATGGCACATGATAAAAAATTTGCATTAACTTTGCAGCATATTTTCTTCTGCAACAAGCAGAAACCTGGCATTATTTAAAGGCCATTTAATTTCCAATAATTCAGTCCTTTTGGAGGGGTATTCCTCACAACTACTAAACTGCATAACCAAATTTTCCCCTTCCTAATGTTAAGTAGAAATTGACAATCAATTTCTAGCACCAAACTCAAATAAATCACTCTAGAACATTCAAGAAGCACACAGTAAAGCTGTGTATTATGCCTTTTTTCCTTATGCCTTTTTTCACCTTGCATCACACGTTTCTGCTAAGTTCAAAACTGCCAAAATTCCCATTTTTAACTGTTTCATTTTTAAAGCAACATTTTTACTTTTGGATACTTTACTACCTCATTTGCATATAATTATAAAGTAGCCACTAATGCATGATCTAGGATGGCACGTTTATTCCAGTGTGGTAGATATGAAAAATGCCTAGCTTTAACACCTAAAATTCAGATCTTCTGGTAAATCAATGACAATAAATTATTTCAAATAAATTACATAAGTTTCAGAGAGTGAAATGTTAAGGGTTCATGCAGTCTAATCTTGCCAATAAATTATTTCAAATAAATTACATAAGTTTCAGTGAGTGAAATTTTAAGGGTTCATGCAGTCTAATCTTGCAGATGAATATCGCAATCCTTTAACTGAAATATGCACTCCATCTCTACATTAACTACTTCCTTCTCACTCCTATCAAAATTATGAAGCAAGGTTTTACTCTTTATCTCATGTGCATGATATTTCCAGATTGGAGTGTTCAAAAGTAATGCACCAAAAAGATTAAAAACAATAAATTTGTCATACCTTGAAAAATTATTATTTCTTATTTTAATTTATAATGGGCTGAGTACTAGACTATTACAAAGTAATTGAAAATAAATGGTTTATTTTAAACTAGATGTCAGTACTACCCAAATATGCGTATCTGTAATATGTACTTTGTAATCTTGCCTTGTAACATGATTCTAAGATACACAAGTTTCTACACTACATAGAAAATTTAATTTTTGATTCTAACACATCTCCGAGTCCAAAACTGCACAAAATTTGGTCTGTGTTAGAACACCTTTAAACAGCTGTTCTCCTGAATGTGATATTGCAATTGATGAAATACTCTGCTCTTCAAACATGGTTTGGGATGGCCACAATATATGGCTCAAAAGAGATCCCACTTCGGAGTAACATCACATATATAAAGTAAATCAACTTTAGTATATATAAGGTCTCAAATCATCTGTACCAGAACAAATGTAATTTTTATCTGAAATATAAAGAACTGCTCTGTCAATTTATGTCACTCATCAAACCATTGCTAAAACAATGATATTGACAGACAATTTTTATACCCCACCAGAATTAGCAGACATGCTCCTAAAATTTCAAACAGACACTTACGGAAATATAAAATGAAATTAAAAGAATCCTCAAGAACTGGCAAAAAAGAAAATCTCAAAAGGTCAGACTGCTTTTCATCAAAGCACAGCTATTGTCATGAAGTGGAAAGATACGAAAGATGTTACGATGTTATCTACGGTAGACTCCCGATTATCCGCGCCTGCCGAACAAAGATTTTTTTTTTTTTACAAGCGTAAAACAAAGAAAATAAAAATGTTCACAAAACTGTGAGAAACGTTAAATTTGCTAACATCGTGCTTATTTATGGCAAAAATATCCTAGGCCTTCTCGGAACCTTGCCCTCTGATGGGTAGGTGATTTCTTGCTAACCCTTGCAGTGCCCACTCCACCGCCCTCTCTCGTCTTAATCTTACTGACATGTCCACTTCCTCCCACTCGCCATTGTGTTAGCCTGATAGTGTTTGCGAACCGGAGTTAATTTCTTATCTTTTTGGTTTTGTGTTTTTCCTTACCGATTTAAAATGTCACGAAAGAAGGAAAACGAAAGAAGGTTGTGTTGACGATTGTGCAAAAACTAGAATTAATTTCAAAAGTAGCAAACGGTGTTACAAGGCAGCAGATGGAATTGGATTATGGAATCACGGAAACAACAGTGCATGACATTCTAAAGCACAAAGACAAACTGGTGAACTTTGCATTAATGTCGGACAGTGCTTCCGCAAAGAAAACGGGAAAACCTATGAAGGGTTCTACCTTTGATGAGCTAGATACAGCATTGACAGAATGGTTAGCTCAAGATCGAAAAGAGGGTACTCCTGTCCGATCATTGCGGCGAAGGCAAAAATCTTTTTGGAGTTGTTAGGCCTGAAAGGAAATTTTGATGTGTCTTCTGGCTGGTTGACTCGTTTTAAACAGCTACATAGAATTCGAGAAATTGGACTTCACGAGGAGAATATATTAAGCGTAATAAGTTAAAATATTAAGCGTTAGTTAAACATTTCCTGCTGTTTATTTTACGTTTTATTGTACACAAAATGATTTTTCAAAGTTTGAATGACTGTTTTCTTATTTGCTATACCCGTATTTAGCTTTTTTCGGATTATCCGCGTTTTTTGTTACCCGCGACGGCTGTGCCACCCAATTCCGCGGATAATCGGGAGTATACTGTATTTCCCATACAAATGACATGGTAGATGCACAGTGCACTTGAAAAACTGAAAAAAAAAAAAAAAAAAAAAAAAAAAAAAAAAAAAAAAAAAAACTACAGTTGTAACCAATTACAATAAAACTATGGAAGCATTAGATAATGCAGTCTTGAAATTATTGCTTGAAAGAGAAGAAACAAATAATATAAGAAAATATTTTTTACGTGTTACGTCAAAATATTTTGGATATATAATTATATACATGTATATACTGCATTTATACAATTTTCTTGAATAAAAAATTTTTCACATTTTTAGTGTTTTCTTGAAAATTATGAGATCGTTAAGGAGTTAACAAAGATGCAAATAAATATTTTTTATTGGTGTTTGTTTAGCTCTGATAATTATTATGTAGCTGTTTCACAGGGAAAGGTTTTCACCGTTTCACTTTTTAACTTACCTGATCCTATATACACAATGGCATAAAATATGATGAACATGCTCTGGCAGTGCACACAAGATTAACAACTTGTGGTTATGAATGACAAGTGGACACAGAGACTAATTTAGGGTTTGTCAAGACTCAATAAACATGAAACACCAGCAGATGTGAAGACTATCTGGCTAAATAAAGGAAAACATGCAGCTGTGAAGAGAATGATTAGTCAAATAGGATTACATGCTGTGATGATTAAAAGAGAAAAATGAATTGATTGTGAATTCAACATAGTTTAGGGTAAAGAGTAAGTCTCTGCTTCCTCTTGCTATGGTTCTTCAAAAGTCCTTTACTCATACATTACACATCTCTTGTAACATCGACATAAGACACTTTTTGCTTATCATTAGTCAGAAAATTTTGCATTTGAAAATATTATCTGGTAAGCCTGGTACATTTATCTATTCTCTCTGAATTTCAGGTTGATTTGGTTTATCTGATTATGACAAAGCACCCTCCTAGGGTTATATGTCAAAGGAGAGGGATGCCTTCATTTATGGTTTTTTATAAGAAACCGTATCCACGTTATACATGGAGAACATGAAAAAGGTCAAGCAGCCAGCCCATTTGCCCGGAATCGAAAACAATTCAAACTATCAGTGTACAGCTCAATTGCTAGTGGGCACCCTGAATTTCAGTAAATTAATACTTAAAGTATTCACTACAAATGCTAAGATGTTGTTATTATTATTATACACAATGAGACAGTGTATGATTCAATATCCTGTTAAGCAGTTTTATTTTTCATTTGATAATTACAATTATGCTCTGTCGCTTATTATATTCTCCACATAAATAAGGGTTTTTCCCCGATATGATGTGGTGTTCCAAAAAAGTAAATTAAGATTTTCATTTATGTATGGCGGAGATTTCATAGCTTTACCAACAAGAAGGAATATATTAATGTAGGCAATGCTACTAAAAATAACTTTAAAAAAAAAGTAACAGTGTTCATACAAGATAAAAGAAACTATGACTTACAATAAGAAAGTAATTGCCATCAATTTTTCAAAACAAGCAAATTACACAGAATTACTTCAACTCTGGAGGCACAGTAGACTTCAGATTTTAAGAATCCACTGAGTAAAATCATATCAAATAAGCATTCAATCAATACAGCATGTGTATGTCTATTTAATAATGTCTGTTTCAATAAGATCGGTATAATGCAGCAGTATAACGTCTGTTTCAATAAGATCGGTAAAGACAAAAATCACCTTTCAAGACGATCATCACGAGGAAGAGGTCGACTCCAGTCTTCATCTTCTCTTTCATAGCGTTTTGTACCATTTCTTCGATCATAAGAATTATTTCTAGTTCCTCGCACTTCTTCTCTTGGTTTATCTTCCCAATTTTCTTTTACAGATGATGGATCTCGCCAATTTCCAACCCTTTCACTGTAACATCAAACTGATTTTAGATTATAAGAGCTTATCATAAGGTAATATAACTGATTTTTCAAAATAACAGTAATAATTAAGACACAATAACATGCCAAACAAATACTAGTTCAGAAGTCAAACAACAAAAATCAGAGTTATATTTTCAAAATTTTCACAGGAAATTTGAAAATATCTTTGCTGTGAAAATTTTGAAAATATAACGCTGATTTTTGTTGTTTGACTTCTGAAATAGTAACAGTTAAATGTTTTGATGCTAAGATTTAAAGAATTTAATAAATCATTTTAAAATCTAAGAAAACGGCCTAAGCACATATTTTTTAGAAACATCTTTAAAAGGTTCATTTAAAACCACACTGTTTTAGAATAAAATTGCCAGACTTGTACAAAATTTCTACATTTAAGTGAACTGATAAAGTTCAGTTAAATGTTAAAGCAAATATTTAAACTGTTTTGTATTGTGATAAAACAAAAATCATCAGACAAAAATGCAATGTTTCTGCAAAATGTTTCATCTGATACATCACACAGTTTTGCCTGTTCATGATGAAAGTTTAAAATTTGTTGTCGTAAAGTTAAAACTTTTATCAATCAACACCATGTTCTAAAATGGTTGTTTTTGCACCAAGATTTTGCTGATGCAAAATGCAGTGAAATGATATCAATTTTTTTCCAAGTTCTCCTCTTTATTTCCTTGTACGAAGTATAGGAAGTATTGCAATCACGAAAAATTTCAGGCATTGTATTTCAAAAAATACTCATCTTGACCACTAACGAATGCAATTTAATGATATTTTTGCGTGACATCTGTATGTAAGGACAGAATAAAGGACACTTTTTCCCAAAACAGATTGGAAAATGAAATTCGAAAGAGTTTTTTTGTGACTTCTTTACGTACTTATGTATCTCACATAACTCAAAATTGAGGAGCCTCAGAATGTTGAAATTTCGTATTGGGACTGCTGTAACATGTAGTTGTGCACCTCCCTTTTCAGTTCCAATCGGCCACATCAAAAGTATATAAATATATGTGTGTGGATGTATATACATCCACCTCTGATACCTGGCTTGGGTGAGCTCAAATTTTAGGTAATTTGTTTTATAATTTTCATAAAAAGTAAGAAATCAATTGTTACTATTTTTATGAATTGTAAAGGTGTTAAATAAAGCATTGCTTTTCTTTATGTATTAATTGTTATTTATTTTTAAGTTTTGTGCACTGTTATGAATATAATTTGTGCATTTGATAAACTGTTCTGTTGTTAAAATGTTTTGCATAAACTTAACAAATTTCTGGGCAGTATAGCGATAAAAGTAAATAAAATATTTACGCAATTGAACATGTGGAAAGATGCATCCAAAAATTTATATAGGTATATTTTTGTAATTCAGCTTAATTCAAAGCGATTTCTTCAAGATTCGTAAAATACGACTATATTTTTTACACTGTTGCATTATTTGTTCAATATCAGACAGACATTTTCCCATTATGCGTAGAAATTTTCTGATCCGGAAAACATTAGAAATAAGTCAGAATAGAATTTAAATAAGTTTTTAATTTTTTTACCTTGGAGATGCACTGTGCTGAGCAACCATCTAAATCCCCCACCCCTTAATGAGCTGTCGCTTTTGACATGTATAATGCAAATCTATTTGCTGTTTATTTTTATCTCTATTTAGCATTTTAGATTTTCTAAATCAATGAAGTTATTTCATTTACTGTAGCTTAATCAAAATTAACAGTTTTCTCAGGTTTCCACAAAAACAATCTTCCCCCTCCCTAAAATACTTCTAAAAATTGATAAATGGATAAAAGCTACAATGTGTTTTTTAATCGAAATTCAGAATTATTTAAATTTTTAAAGTATGCCAATAAATGCTTTAAAAAATTAAATACTAATTGCATCAAGTACCAGTCTCCTGAAATTAGCTATTACAACAACTGCTATAGCCAATAAAATAATATTTGAATTTCTGTTTTAGTGTATTACAATTTAAAGCTGAAGTATTTAAGCATACTAAAATAACTTCCTTTTCTCTCTCTTAAATTTTGTATATGAAATGATTCTTTAATAAATTATGATAATATTGTGAATAAATCAGAAATATCACTTCTTAAAAAAAATTGGAAAGTACACCTAACAGGTTGCTAATAAAACCTAAACAAATTCTTGAAATATGCAAAAACATAATTTTTAAAGGCTTTAATATTATGCACATGCATTTAGATTCTGAATTATTTCTTCATAATTGTCTGTACGTAGTAAATTACGGATATCATCTAACTTTAAAACAAAAAAATTAACAATAGCGAAGCATTTCATTATAAATTTAACATATTTTTACTGGAAAATACCTGCACGGAACAGCTTAGAAACACGTACGTTTCACTGCCGTAATGGAATATTTTGAAGTTACAAACATGGACGCCACTCGTTTGGTGGAGTTTCATTCCCCGATAGTGGAGGAAACTGCAAACCCTCCCTCCTTCTGTTCTAACCTCCTTGGAAATAATTAACTCCCATTCTACATTAAATGTTCTGTTTCCTTCACTTAATTTGCTTCTCTTACAATTTCATATGATGGATGAAAAATGAATATCAAATAGTATCTTTAAGAAAGCATATACTTACTAAAAATACAATAAAAGCATGTATTAGTAAAACCTCAGAATAAGTAAAACAATACAGTCAAAAGTCGTTAATCCGGACTCGTCGGGACTTCGGCGATTCCGGATTATCGATTTTTCCGGATTATAAATCATCAGTTCAAATCGCGTAAGATGGCATGCAGAAATTCATAAAGCATCAAACTAATGAGTGATGAATTTTCATATGCAAAGAGATATTTAATATGAAAAATATTTGCATTATATTTGCAAATTTTCACACAACTAGTTTCAATTGCTTTACCGAACCATCAGCTGCCAAAGTGCAAAGGGTGCTGCAAATTTTTACAAGATTAGTTTCGATGGTTTTACCAAATCATCATCCTCAGCTTTGGCAGCTGTGAAAATTTGCAAATATAACACAGATTTTTGTTGTTTGAAATATATATTAATACTTGTTCAGCGTGTTATTTTATCTTAATCACAATCTTATTGTTCCAAATAAATGTTTCTAGTCTGTAAACTTTTAGCAAAATTCATTAAGAGCAGTTTATTATTTCTTCATCGAAAAGTATATAAAGACAAACATTTAAGACACATAAGGGGCATCATGCAAGTTAAACAGCTAACATAGTCATAAAATATGAATACATAAAGCATTTTTATGCATCTAGCTGGGGGCAACAGCTAGTCTTAATTTGAGAGCAAATGTTTCCCAGTACTACTAATCTTAATTTACATTTATAATCACAAGCTGTATAACCTTCAAGCAAGAGCTTTAAGGCTTATGAACAATTTTAACCCTCATTTCTCAAAATAATATCTGATAACCTTTTTCTAAAGCAGTCTGGTTTCATTAACTGTTGAATCTGATGATATCAAGTTTCAAAGAAACCAACACATATTGGCAACATCTATTCATCAATATCTTTATGGCTAAAATGGCATACAGTCAAAAGTCGTTAATCCGGGACTCGTCGGGACTTCGGCGATTCCGGATTATAGATCATCAGTTTAAATCTCGTTAGATGGCATGCAGAAATTCTAAAATTAAAAATATGAAACCGTAATTTATGAAATAAAGAACAATTATGATCTAAAGGGTATCAAAATTTGCAAAATGAAAAAGCTTAATATTTATTTGTTTACTTTATTAAACATTTCTTTCAATGTAAGTTGTTTAAGTTTTGCTTCGTTTCATGTGATAATACTTTCTCTTTAATTCTATTAAACAGACATAATTTCTTGTTCAGTTACAAAGTTCCGCTGTTCAAGTCCCGTTAATTGCTGTGCCGAGAATACCGACTAACTTGTCAATCGAAATTTTTTCGTTTTCACTAACCTCTCTGTCACATTCTTCATGTCTTTATCCATTTTTTGCAGCAATTCCACTTTTTGTTTAATGGACTTCGAAGCATACTTTTGCTTTGTAGATCCTTTACATATTAGTAAATATATATCGGAAATTCTATTTGACATAATCGAAAGTTCAAGTTTACTTTTATAGTATTGCTCTTACAGTCTGCAAAAAATAATAAGCCGGATCCAATTCGAAAATTAAGGAAAAACGCAATCATCAACATTAACTGAAATAGATAATTAGATAATTTTAGCTTATACCGTTTGTTATACATAAAACGCGCACGCGAAAACGTATTCTGCGCTTGCGCACACGCAAATGCGCAGTCGTAAGAGGTCTTACACGCACGCGTAAACGCCTATGCGCATGTGTCAACGCGGCGCATGCGCAGAAAGTTTTTAGCTTTGAGGTCCGGATTATAGATCTTTCCGGATTATGGGGTGTCCGAATTAACGACTTTTGACTGTACTAGATTTTCAAATTGGCTGATAGCAATATGAGACGAGGTTGTTGCAAGCATGGAAAGATAACTACAAATCACCAACTTCGTAACATGCGGGGGAATGCTGAGGGGTGCAGGGCAGAGGGAGAAAAGTAGGTACTGTCTGTCTCTGAGAACAGCCACCGTCAGGGTGTCTGGTGAATGGTGGTAGCTATAGCAACATGGTTAGTGTACTTCAAGTAGGGGTGAGCCATGCAGAAGTTTAAAAAAAAAAAGCAAGAATTTCTACTGCTCGTCATTGACAAACTGAAAAGTGCAACCAGAATGGCAATAATTTCAGAGTATGAAAAAGACTGCTAGTACTGCAACACTGCAGCATTCTAATTTACGTTATTCTCAATAGATGGCAGCATGTTATTTAATTCTATTACTTTTCAAATTGTTCTAATCTATATACATTAATTAATACAAAAGCTAGAGGCCGCACACGAAACAGAGGCGGCAAGTTCTCCACTTCGATATATATATATATATTGTTACGATGTGCGCAGCCACGGTAAGATAGCTTCCCCGCAAAGCAGGTTTAA